AAATCTTAACCGGAGGAGCACCAGGGCATGCCGTCACAACTTCAACTTGGTGATTTACCCCTCACAGCACAGCGGGAAAGCTGCCGTCTCTCCATCTAATGCTCTGTACATTCGCAACATTCCCATCACCGTCCCACGGGCGCAGGTGGAGGAGTTTTTGTCGGCGTTCGGCACCCTCACTTACTGTGCGATGCGTGAGGATCACTACGGCAATCCTGTGTGGGTTGTATACGCCGAGTACGACTGCCTAGAGTGTTCCAAGAACGCCCTCCTGAGGCTGCATGGTAGTTCGGAACACTTTACTGGTCCCCCAGTGATGGTCAAATATGCTGACAACGATGAAGCCAAACAAGAGCGCCGTCGCCGTCGCGAAGAGGGCAAAGTTTCCCGTGCACCACCTCCACGTAGTGTCTGTGTCTTCCCACCAACACGTCACGTTGCAACGCCGGAGTTGCACCAGAGCAACTATGTGGATGCTCCCGCAACGGTCTCCAACACCAGCAGCCTAAGTGCTGCTGCGTGCCCTTGTGATTTTACGCGTTCTCGGGATTCGGCGGCGTGTTCTGTAGGTCCTGCCCAGTGTAGCGACACCTCGTCAACTGCATCGTCGGTCAGAAAAGTGGCAGATAATGTGTTCACATCCCCGGCGCCTCCACTGATGGATACCGCGCTGCCGCCGCCCGTATTTGCTGCAACTCACCAATCCCGACAGCCTCCAAAATACCCAGGGGAACCTCCTTGCGAGGTGGTTCCAGCAAGGCCGTCAATGATGCGTCGATCAAGTTGCAACAATGATGGCCAACCTGTTCTCATTATGTTGGAAAATGGACAGCAGTTGCTGCTTGCCTCTAACGCGGTTAATGTGCGTCCATCGGACTTTGCGCCTCCTTCAACCCCTGCTTTCTTGTGGCCGTCGCTTGACATGATGTACACTTCACCGCCACCGATGCCGCAGCCTTTTACAGTTGTCCAGTTTCCCTGAAAGGGTGTACTGTACGTTGCTGACGGGGGCGTTGAGGAAAGAAAGCAATGAATTTGAAAAAAAGAAAAGGAAAAAAAAAACGAAACTTACTGTCTATGGCAAATCTTTTTTTGCCGTATGTCTTCTAGTTTTCGTTTCTCGTATCTCATCCTTACGTAATATTTTCTCCTTTTCTCGGTCTGTCCCTTTTTGCTTTCCTTGTGTTTGCTCGCTTATTTGTTGAAGTGTTTTTATTTCCGTTTTTTCGTCGCCGTTGATTTCGGGGTACTCGTGTTTTTTTTCTTGGTTCACGGCTTTGCTCTCTGCCAGGAAGCTCCAGACATGGGAAATATTCACATGTATATAAGTTGTAAACATATGAGCGAGCGGGAGGGAACAAACGGGGAAGAATGAATGAGGAAAGGAACAAGACGATTATTTGCTCTCTTTTTTTTTGGGGGGGGGGGGAGGTTTCTCTGGAAAGGGAGGGATTGTTTGGCCTGTGTGTGTGTGTGTGTGTGTGCGTGTTCGGGGTGTTTCTTGTTTTGTTGTTGTTTTTTGTTTGTTCTTTCACTTGTCATACGTATGTGGCTCACTGTGTTCCTCCCTGGCCGAGCCCTGTGTTGCTGTGCCCTCGTGTTGGGATGTGGACCCGCGGCGGCGGTGGTGTTGTGCGACGTCCTCGTGCCAGCCGCCACGCTCCCCCCTCGCACGCACACATGACGCGGCACAAATAAACTGTAGGCAGACACACACATTACATATATCTATCTATATATGCATACGTGAGTAGGTGTTTGTTTCTTTGCGAGTGGGACAGAATGAAAACAGTGATAGCCATCAATAAAACAATAGAGGGGAGAAGGGAGGGAGGGAAAGGAATAGGACGGCGGGAATCCAACAGAAAAGATGGGGAGAGAAAAGTGAATAAGCCCAGGAAAAAACAATAATAAAGGCAAGGAAAGAAAATATACTCATAACAACAAAAAGTATTGTCGGAGAGTGAAAATGTGGAAAGAGACTGTAAATGAGAAGAAAAGGATAAGTGATGCTGAGTGGTCGGAGATGAACTTCTTTTAACACACACACACACACAGAGGGAGAGAGGGGAAAAACAGTTTGAACAGAGAGGGGCAAAACGCACAAAAAGGGACTCTTGTGCGTTGTTTTCATGTGTGGGGCGATCTCCGTATGTGGGTATTTGTTGGATGCATGTGCATGCATGGGTCCGCAGTCCCATTTGGGGGTAAAAAGACGCCTCTCAAGTCGATGAATTTATTTGGTTATATTGTTGTTGTTTTTCTATTTTTATTTTGTGTTTGCCGCAACAATGGGAGGTTACAAAAGGAGTAAAAAAAAATAATAATACAAAATGATGAAGAAAAAGAGAGGAGCGGTGTAGAAAAAGACAACAACGCAAAGGAAGGAAAGCGGGAAGGAAAAACATGTTTTTCTCTTTTCTTCTTATGCATATGTGTGTATGTGTATTATGTACAAACGTGTATACATCGATGCATACATACATACATATATATATATATATAGGTGTTCTATTTT